ATAAATAAATCTCCCCAATGACACACCTGATTCAATATAAAAATGGTCAAATCCATGAGACTCAACAAGTGTAAAATCATTAAAATTGTCACTAGAGGCTAATTAATTAAACAATAAAAATAGTGTATATCCTGTGTTTGTCCGTGGCAAAGAACACTCTTTCATAAAAACAATTAAGTAGGCAGAAGAGATCGCTCAGTAGGTAGAGACACTTGCATTTGGGCCGATGACCTGACTTTGATGCTCAGATCCTACAAGGTGGCAAGAAAGAACAAACTCCTGAGAGTTGTTCTTTGATCTTCAAACATGTGCACTAGGGCATGCATGCAATGGTACATATGTGCCTGCTGTGGGCATGCATACATACATACATACATACATACATACATACATACATAAGCAAGAAATAAAAGCAAGATGGCCAACTGCTGCTATTGGTTACTTTATTGTTTTGATTTTTTTACAGGCAGAAGCATAGTGACAAGAAGTGATTACATAACTTCTTAATATCATTAAACAGCTCACAGAATGAATGCATCAGAACTTGAACTCAATCATGAGCAAACCATAGTGTATTTACCTACTTATTTTGCATTGAGTAACTCAAACCCTATAAATCAACATACTACTTCTACCTTCTGCAAAGTTCGTAAAAGTACCACGAAGGAGATATTACTTCCACTAGTAGAACAATGGCTTCTGATGGTAATGTGATAGAAAGAAAACATTCAGGGGACAGAGGAGACAGCTCACTGGATAAGACCACTTGCTGTGAAAGTCAGAAGACCTGAGTTCAAATTCCCAAAAACCACATAAAAGGCAGCCATGCATTTGCATGGGTACACACCCCCACACACACATGAAAACACAACACACATACACACACTCTCTTCTCTCTCTCTCTCTCACACACACACACACACACACACACACACAAATCTGTGGAGTCAAGGCAGCCTTCAAAATCTAACTCCATCAGGTGTTTCATAATGAGCTTTGTGCTGCAGCTCAGACATCTTAGTTGATTTCCTAAACAACAGGCCTCTAGCCTCCCATCCAGTGACATGCATGTGAAATCTAGCCTTGTACCTGGTCCATAGTTAACTGTGCTGACTTTGAAACAAAAGGACACATTAACATATCTTAAGTGCACACACATTTTGGGAGGGGCTGAGGCATTGCCTATCTTTCAAGGTGACCTGTGTAGCCAATATTTTTAATATGATAATATTTGTCAGCTTCGTCATGCTGGATAAGTGTCACTTTCACTATCTCCCCAACTTGGAATCTCAAGGTCCAAATGTTTATTCCTCCCCTGAGGTGGTTTTAAAATTACTGTGTAGTCCATGGAAAATAAACTAAAGGGGACTGAGACAATTTGAAATTCTCCCTTTGAGTTGTTGCAAGCTGGAACTTTGTCAGTTAACAGTGGAAATGCTGAAAGCTAGAGCAAGCAGAAGAATAGAACGCTGATGTTTGAGATGAGAACTGAGGGAGGGTGAGGTTGAAAAGACACTTCTTAACTTGACAACATGGAAACCTATGGCTGAATACTCCTTTCGTAGTTAGTGAATGGTCCTCCCAATGATATCCCATTATTCTGCATCACAACCTTCTTTGAAAATCATTTACAATCTAGTACAGCTCATGGTAACCATATTTAATAAAGAATAGCATGAGTTGGGGCTGAAGAGATGGTTCAGTCATTAAGAACACTGGCTGCCCTTGCAGAAGACCCAGGTTTGGTTCCCAGTACCCACATGGCAGCTAACAACTGTCCAGTTACAGGGAATTCGACACCCTCTTCTGACCTTCACTGGGCATTGCATGGCACAGTTACACTTACATATATATAGGCAATACAGTCATACACAAAAAAATAAATAAAATATTTTTTAAGAAAAGAATAACCTAAGTTTTGGGAACTGGAGCATGAGACAGAGTCACAGTAATGGTGAACAATAACTGTATGGCTCTGAGAAATTTATTTAACCACTTGGGTCCTCAAAGAAAAGAAAGTTCCAATAGCCATGATTTAATGTGAGAACAAAGTGACACTGAGAATTCAAACTGCAAATTGTTTTTTAAACAAAAAGTTAGGTGACAGCTAAAATAACCAGAGTCAACTATGTTATCACTAATATAATTATTCAAGCTTTAATTCCCTAAATGGAAGTAATACTGGTTTGTTATTATTATTATTATTATTATTATTATTATTATTATTTCCAGGACTGTTATTTTTATTTGCTATCATCACCATCTAAGATGTGAATGTTGCTTGCCCATTCCTGAGAGGATAAGGAAGCACAATTCTGATATCAAAAGACCATGCTCTGCACTCAGGATTCTGCACCTTGAAGGCCAAGTTCACCGTACTTAAACCTCACTGCATGATGGTAAACACAAATTCTTATGGTTCCTTTTTAAAATAAATTTGAAGCTTTTCTTAAAAGAGTTCAGTGGATGGGTCCAGAACAGCAAATCTCTTCCTGATGCCATAAGCACATAGAGTACTCTAGAGTTCTCAGGATATTTCTCCTTTGTTTTTTATATTGGTACGTGCTTCTATTAAAATGAGAATCTGAAGCACAGAGAGGCTTATGGAAGAGGAGCACATCTGCCTGCATCTCTATCACTGTGAAAAGTGATACCTTCATGTATATAGGTTGATTGATCCCTCAAGATATGCAAGGATCCCTTCTACCCCCAGAGCCAGTTGTCCCTTTCATTTTGGTCAACAACGCTTCCTTTTTGTCCTCCCCTCCAATGAGGAAGCATAGCACTATCACAGACACAATACACCTCTTCATAAGGAAGGCATGAGTATGTGCCAGATGGGCTGAGGGGATTACAACATGTTTCCTCTCCCATGGTGACTCAATGGGGCTGGTATGAAAACTCATCTTATTCAAGGAGTCAGCTTCCCCTAAGAGAATTATGAGTCACAGTTCCTTGGTAGAAAGTACATTTGCCAACAGCATTTGGGGGAAGGGGAAATCCTTGATGGACACAGTGAAGGTCATTCAAAGGCAGTACTGCCAGGGCCATCCAGCAGGCATCAGCCCTCACCAACTTCTGGAATCCTTGCTCTCACAGCAGTAGTAGCATGGTCATCTCTCCCTTTTAAATACAGGTGAGGTACTTCACACTCCAAAAGTGAATTATTAGTGTGGATTTAACACTTCCATTATGAAACTATCCAGGTTAGAAAAAGGGGCTCTGAATGATTATCTATTTATGGTTTATTATTGAGCACCTACTATGTATCTATACAGCAAACATTATTCCTAGTGTTTAGGAAAAAAAAAAACAAAATGAAGAGAGCTATGTCCTCAGCTTGAAATCAGAAAGGGAGTAATGACAAAGGGAAAGAAGAAGGAGGGAAGGAAGGGAGGGTGGGAAAGAGATGAGAGAAGAGGAGAGGGAAGAGGGAGAGAGGAGGAAAGGAAAGGAGAAGGGAGGGAAGGAAGAGGAGAGGAATTGAAGGAAAAGAGGACCAAAAAAGCTAGCTCATGTAATATTAGTAAGATGACTGATGTGGTCACTCCAGCATGGTAAGGGGATGGTGACTGGCAGGAATATGTTAGTTTACAATGGTCAAGGAAAGCCTCTGAAGAAGAGAACATTCAAACATGGTACCAAGTTAAATAGAAATAAATTATAATCAGGTGTTATATTCAGCATATTTAATAATCAGTACATCAAGTCACTTCCACTCAAACAAGAGAGTCAAGCAGGGTAGATGTCGGCATGTTAATCTATCTGGCTTTGCACTAGTATATCCAAGCTGAATATCAGTCCTGGTTAAAATATAGCTTTCCTTTGTGAGTCCCAAAGGGCCAACAAGTTTAGACATTATCCGTACTTTCAGCTGTACTCTGTCCTAGTTATACCTCTTCTTTAGAGTTATTTTGGGTTTCTAATACAATGATCTAAGTGGCATAGAAAAACTAAAACGCACCCAGCAAAGACGATCAGAATGCAAGAGGGCTGAAATCCAAGCCATAGGGAAAAATTTGAAGGTTCATACTGTAGAACACTGGGGTCCTGGTTCTGTAACACCAACACTTCCGCAGGCTTCTCACAGAGAATAGGCATTAAAGTGATGATAGTTAAAGCACAGTCATGATGTTCATCAGAATTATATACATGGGGATCTTTATTAAAATGAGGATCCCAGGGTCTCTGGATTAAAATTAAAGAACGTGTGCGTTAGGTGTTTTCCCTTTCAAGTAAGGGGCTGAATCAAAGCAATACATAGACATGACAGACAAATTTCACTCTTAACGTAAAAAAAATTTCTAAAAGTTTGATGAATGGAAAAAATGGTACAAACTGCAATAGACCCTCTCTAGTTAGAGAAACCAGAGGGTGACTGAGCAGCAATTCAGAGATGAGAGGAAACATCAAAAAATGAACTTTTGAGTATCCAGCCCCCTTCTTCCTCTGATTGCATATAATCCAGGATCATGGTGACTAAATCTGATTATTCAAACTCAATAAAAATGTTTTGTTGGCTCCTCTTATGATGCCACATCCAAAGAAAGAATTATCCTACCAACAAGTCCTTTGTTCCCTATATAGATGCAGTTTGAGAAAGAAAAAATTATCATTTTGTTTTGTTTTGTTTGTAGGGTCTGAATGGACTGCTAGTGACTGAGTTTTCTTCAGTTCTCATTCAGGTTTGGGAAACAGATTGTGCTATATCATGCCATTTCCTCCACAGGATTTAAGGTAAGGTAATGAAGAAGAACTCTGTGTCTGTGAAGGTGATGAGATTTTCGCATATTTACACAGAAGAGACCTCTTGTCAAAGTATCCAAGTCCCTCCCATCAATAAATGCATTGCTCTTTCAGAGCACGATCCTATGCTACTACAGAAGAATATGGATAAAACCTTATATTATTTTAAATTATGTTAAGTTCATTATCAGAAAGAGTGGACACATTACTCTGTATATGATTTAAATTTTAATTATTTATCAAAGGTCACTCACCTGAAGCATGACTCTGCAGAATCCCATAGAAGTACAGACTCATCACACACCAGAGAAGTCCCATCCTGTCAACATAATTAAAAAAGGTAAGGGAGAGTACCTCTTATTCTGAAGTCATTAAACAATAATTACTGGGTATGCAAGCTGCCTACGGACTAAGAACTGTTCCAAGAGTTTTACAATATTAAAAGATTTTGCTGTCAGAACCAACGAGTGATAGTTTTTATTTTTATTCTTTGCATTGTTATTTGCCTTTGAATCTCCAAAATACATACAGATAAATTCTAAAAGGTTTAAGTAACACAACTGAGATCCTCTGGCTAGACATTTGTAGAGCCATGATCAAATTCCACCTGTAAGACTCTGGAACTCTCTGCTAATCACTGAACTGTAACTGCTCAAAGAAATGTTCACCTGGATTTTCTGACCTGGAGCCACATTTTTGGCAAGTGAATTAACCCTCTTACCCTTCTCCAAGTTCCCCATTCTCTTCTCAGTGGGGAATATGTTATGAACCAGGTACTTTTCCATCTCATGGATGAATAGAAGGTCTAGAGATCCTTGATTCAGGCACAGTCTGCAGTCTACCACACTGAATGTATATTAACAGGGAATAGATAAACCTCATGCCCTGCCTCTCGCTTATCCACTGAAGAGAAAAATAACAAGGCAGGGGTCCAGTTTCCGCGAGCTTTAGCTTCCCTATTGATAACCTGCTGTTACTGTCAGCCAGCCAGAACCATGACCCTGTATTTGGGTGTGTGATCTTCAATGCAGAAGGCCTAGAGTTATAACAACCCTGTGAAGTGCTTCCTTTCCTACTACTCTGGACATGTCTGGTCACTAGAAAAACCTCCACAGGATTACAAATACAGAAATCTGAATGACTCAGAAATTCTATGGTCTCGACCTCTGCCTTCTGATTGAAGACATGCAAACGTGAAATCAAAGGTCTTGGTAAACTATACAGATTGTACTTCTAGAAAGCCACAGAGAAGAAATGGATTTTTTACCCCCACCAAGCTAACAACAGACTATTATCTCAAATCGCCTAAGTCACAAGTTTGACAACCATAGGGACTCACCAATATAAAATGGTCAAAAAGATACTTCATGGTGTGACTAACAATATGATATTAACTAACATGGACCACTTGTAAAGTGCTACATAGAAATAAAAGATATAAACTATCACTGCCCAAGAAATTTGGGCTTTATTGTCATCCAAAACAAAGTAGAAGCTTCTACCTCTATCTTTTGTCTTAACCACACAAAACCAGAAAGTTCTAATTCACAACCTGCTCTTTCTTTAGCAAAGCTGTACAGAAATCATAGGTGAGTTCGCTGTTTTACAAGAAGCCATTGCATCTCAGAAATTAAATGACCTTTCTTTCCTGGAAAGGTGTTTTCCAATACTCACAGCATTATCTTAGGGAAATCTAGGGGTATTTTTTCCTTATATCATTCATTCACTCATTTTGACTGTCAGAGGTACAGCTCAGTGGTCCTCCACTTCCCTAACATATGCAATACCCTGGGCTTGATTCCCCAGAACCATCATTTGCAAATCATATTCAATATTTTTAGCTGATGAGTTCCTATGAAATAACTGCAGGGGATTCTAGCAAGTGAAATACAGGGCCTTTCATAAGAGTTCTCCTCTGCAGTCAATAGACCCCATGCAAACCTCCTCAGCATCTCCAACTATGCATAAAACGCACACATGCAGACATAATTAGGAAATACAATTTATCAGACAGTGGGTGTAGTGGTAAGCAAAGTCTAGTAGTGACTTAAAATGTGTACAAACATAAAAGAAAATGTGATAAAGGAAGTAACCAATGAGTGTTACTGAAGATTAGGAGAAGAGAGATTGCTCCAGCCAAGGCCCTGTAAGAAGACTGAACACAAACTGAGAACAATTGGTTTGGCTATTGTGAATTGAGGCAGAAGGGAAGTGTGGGGGAACAGAGGCAGTTACTGAAGAATCACATTCAAAGATAATGGAAATGTGGGACATAAATAGGAAATAGATATAAATGATTCAGTTTGGCTCAAGAACAGGGCATTAGGAAAAGAACTTTAGAAGATTTTGTTGGAAAGCAGAGAGGGCTGGGGAGGAAATATGCCAAGAACAGGCTGAACATGAGGGATTTAACATACAGCAACTAGGAAATCACTGATGTTTTCTGATTAGAGGAGTGATGTCACCACCAGTTTGGGCCTTATAGAGGTCATTCTGCCAGGCACAGAGCGGAAGGATGGCCACTAAATTCTGCCTTGGAGTCATTTTGGATCCTGGGTTTGTCATCACAGTACTTGCTCTCCTGCTAGAGTTTAGTCATCAGCACACTTGATCAGCATGCAGCCTATGTCCTCACTCAAGTCATTAATAAAAGTAGTTAATAATTCTGCGTCAATCCTTGTCAGCAAGAGCAATAAGATATTTAATTGCAGATTCAGGGCACAGCAGTTTCAGCCCCACCACTCAGCTATATTAAAGTATTCTGGCCTCCTCAATTGCTTTTGGCTATTAACACACACACACATGCACACACACATGCACACGCACACGCACTCACTCTGGATTTTTACCAATTGGCCTGTTTATAAGCATCTGAATTCCAAAAGCAAAGCTTAGAAGACACTCTAATTAGTGTGACTGAGGACCTTAATTGATATTCCCAAGAGTAACTGCATTATGTAGAAGGCAGTGGAGTCAAATCATCAAAGTAGAGCTAATCTAAAGATAACTTTTGTGCAAACACAAATTCACGGTCAGCCTTGTCTTAAGATGAATAAAAGAATGAAGCCATACTTGGAATTTTGTTGATCATAAAAGTAATGCATTTTTAGCTCTTGTTTCTTAGGATAAGAGGGTGTTGTGTCAAAGATGGGGAAAGTGGCCTGGCATGGTGGCTCATGCCTTTAGTCCCAGTACTCGGGAGGCAGAGGTAGGCAGATCACTGTGAGTTCAAGGCTAGCCTGGTCTACATAGTGAGTTCCAGGTCAGCTGGGGCTACTGGGAGACCCTGTCTCCAAAAGACAAAAAAAAAAAAGAATGAAAAAAAAAGAGAGATGGAGAAGGTGGCCAGAAGCCTATAAACACATGGGTGCACCCAGTGTCTAAATTACAGTTTAGCTTCACGTTGTGACAGACTCTATCGGATCTGCTCTGACTTTAGATGACAGAAAGCTACATATGATAAACTCCCAGTCACCGTCTCTATTGCCCCTTTAGGTATTGGCACTTCTTTCATATTTAGTGCCACTGTTTCCCAATATAAGATTTATCTTGGGAAGGATTTAATCTGTGCTCCCTTTTTCATCTACCCTGATCAGGAAACTTCCTATTATCCACATTCTCTGTGCTTAAGAAGCTTTGGATCTCAGCAGCTCTGAGTCAGCCCAGTCATGGGTTCTCTCACTGCACAAGCAGCCTGGGTTCGCTGCCTGGAGGCTGCTGTTCACTCTACATTGCCATCTGCTCAGCTCTCCTCTGCACAATGGCACTTCCCCAGGCTACTGTGTAGAACTTTCCCTGGTTCGGTGACTCTATGTACAACTTCATATTCATAAAATTATCACTCTTTGAAGTGCACCACGATGGTGGAGGCTTGGATCTTGAGCCTGACACTTATCTGTTCTTCCCAGAAATCTCACTGTGTACCCTGTAATGCCATCCTCTAAGCTGGATGAGCAGCCTATAACCATGATATTGATCTCGCTTGCTTTGTTTCTGCCTTTTGCAATGATCTGCCCACTGAAAACTTGGCCACTCGTACTAAGCACAAACCTTACATGGCTATCCTTGTGGAGGGTGAATCCTGCTACCAAACCACATCTCTGAGTCCTTGGATATTTTGAGCCCATCCATGTTTTTCTTTACCCATCTCTAAATTACAGATAAAGCCAAACAGCTTTTGCATTAACACTCACCTAAGGGAGAAAAGTAAACCTTGAATTATCTCATTTTATAGAGGAGATAACATTTATTAAGAAATCCAGATTGCTTTCACCATCAATCTTTTACCTACTTACAGATTTTTTTTGACCCATAACAGGGTCTTTGTGAGACAATTTCAACAACCAATATTTATCAATAAGCAGACATTTAAATGGACTAAAAGGAAAGGCACTAATTACTGGCAAAAGGAAAGAAGTGTGTTCTGCTCTGTCTTCCCCAGTAAGGAAGATACAGAGCATGTGCATAAAAGCCTACTGAGGACTCTGAGAGTCAAATAACTGGGCCATCAACTTAAGTATGAGAGGGCATTCACCAAAATAGGCCATACCATGTGCCTATGAATAAAACCATGACAGCTTCAAAGGAACTGAGACAACAATCTTTAACCACAAGATTTAACCAGATATCAAAAACAGGAAGTTAGTGGGAAAAGTCTTCAGAAGTAAAAAATTCTGTTCTACATGACCCAATGGGTCAAAAAGAAAAGCTCCAAGAGAAAGTAGAAACTATTTTGAACTAGAAAAACATAAAAAATATAATATACCAAATGTTATTATAGAAAACTGTGTTGCATTAAAGACATGTTAGAGAGAATGACATAAATATTTTAATATTTTACCTTAAGGTTTTGAAAGAGATGAATAAGCCAAGCAAGCAAAGTGAAGAACAACATAACAAATAGAGATCAAAGAATTTTAAAATAAGAAAAAATAGAAGAAAAAGTAAAAATAGATTCACTGAAAAGAATGATGGAGCTAATATATTTTTAGTCCAATTCACAAAGAAGAAAGAAAGAAAGAAAGAAAGAAAGAAAGAAAGAAAGAAAGAAAGAAAGAAAATATTTAGCAAAAATGGAAGAGGAGATAGGCTGGAAAGATGGCTCAGTGGTTAAAAGCACTGACTGTTGTGCAGAAGACTCAGGTTTGAATCCCAGCACCCACATGGAGGCTAACAACCATCTGTAACTCCAGTTCCAGGGGATTCGATGTCCTCTTCTGTCCTCCACAGGTATTGCATGACCTGTGTGCACTTTCATACATTCAGATAATACATTCATACACATAAAATAAAAGTAAATAATTTTTTTTTCAAAATGAA